CATTTCAATCCTATCTGACTCTTTGTGACCCCATTTGGGGTTTTCTTGGCAAAGATACTGGAGAGGTTTGCCATTTCCTTCTTCACCTCATTTTACAGATGAGGAAACTGAGACCAACAGGGTTAAGTGACTATCCCAGGGTCACCCCTCCAGTTAGTGTCTGAGGCTGGATTTGAACTCAGGTCTTCCTGACTCCAGGCTGAGCATTCTATCTACTGCATTGCCCAACTGCTTCCAGCTTAGGGTCCTTATTTCCAACTTCCTTCAATATTCCCACTAATGGTAGCATTGGTCCTCTTAACACTTTCTTTTTTTCCCCCAGAAATTATTCAGTCAATTCTCCACTATGTAAACAAACTTGGGAAATAGAAATAGTTTTAAACCTCAAGTTTAAAAAAGGAAGCCTTTTCATTATTTCCAACAGCTTCTCATACTTAGCATCTGGTACAATCAAGCGGACAATAGCTTTTCATGCTCTCTAATGAAACACAGCTGCTACTTTTGCTCATGAGAGGTGTGATGAAAAGACTGTTACTGGTGCTGGAAACTGCCCAGTATTAGTAACATATGTGTAAAGTACATTTTATAGTACTTAATAATAATAATAATGATAATAATAATGGGAATCTAAAAAGGTATCCTGGGAGGATACCTGAGTCACCAAAAAGAACCAGGTTAGGGGACCTGAGTTAGGAAATGTATGAGCAGTCACTGGGGTTAGGGCCTGTCAGTCATCTGTACTCAGCAAATGAGCCAAGAGTTGGAGGCATACCATAAGTTGTGAACAGGAGCTTGGTGGGAGGTTCAACATGGAGTTCAGGCATCAAAAAAAGAAGAGAAGCCAATTTGCTCCTGGTGTTGGGAAGAAGCTGTTGTGATACAGAGATTTCCAGGCATGATGGGGCTTATGATTGAGCCCATATGACCACCTTGGAAAAAGATTCACCCATAAGAGGGTGAATGAGATAGGGTTCTGGGGGTCCCAATTTAATTCAAACCAATTTGTGGTTATGCTGTGGTTACTTTAGGAAAGGACCTTAAAGGTCATCTAATCCAAACCCCTTGTTTTACAGATAAAGAAACTGAGTCTCATGTGAATTAAATGATGTGCCCAAGGTCACACAAAGTAGTACCATCAGGAATGGGATTTGAACCCAGGTTTTCTGACTCCAGAGCCAGTGTTCATTTCACTACAGTACATTGCCTCCTTGTTTAACACTATGCACCATAAATTCATTTCTATGCTTTTGAAATTTGTTTTGCTTTTCCTTATTTGCCCAGTAATGTTCCTTTTAAATAAGCCCCCATATCCAAATCCCAAATATCCAAAGGGCTTGTTACATGGAAAAAGGCTGAGATACGTATGTTTTGCTTGGTTCCAGGGGACAGAACACACAACAAAGATTAGATGTTTCAAAGAGTCAGATTTCAGCTCCATATAAGGAAGACTCCCTAACAATTAGATCTTATCCAAACAGTAGAATAGACTGCCTTAGGAAAAAGTGAGTTTGTCTGCACATGAAGTCTAAGAGCGTGCATTTAGGGTAGTAGTATAGACTAGCAGCATAATAGAATAACTACTGGATGAGGATTCTGGTAGAGGGCACTCTGGTCAGGCACAGGTTGCTCTAGATGGCGTCTGAGTCTTTTCCACCTCTGAGATCCTGTGATTCTGTGAATTTTGCCTCAGATAAATAATTGGGGGGAGGTGGGGAGGAAGAGGTCCTCTGACTCCTGAACAATTTCCATGGTACCATATTTCCTGTCATGTAGTCTGTTCCTTCAAGGAGCTTATGAAAAGAAGACCTTATGTTAATATAGTACTTTTAGAAGCAATACGAACAGTGAAGAGGGAGCTAGGTTTGGAATCAGAATGACATAGGGTCAAGCCATGCCACTGATTTTTTCACCTCTAGAGAGGAGTCAAACTCTTTTTCTTACATTCTTTGGCTCTTTAAATCTCCACTTAAAAACCTAAAAGACAAATCACTTCAAGCTTAGGCTCATATCTAGGGTCACCTTCAAAGGGATTAAAAAAGTACTCAGTGTAGAAGGTAGATCAGGTATAGGACAGCTATTTATTTCTTCAACCACAGAGAATGCTTAAAATACATGTACTAGGCTTCCAAACAAGCCTGAGGCATCTTGTGCACAGCTCAGTTCTCCCAGGGTGATGTGATTTATAATTGGTGAATTGGAGAATGCGGAGGTGAAGCTGGATACTTGTATGAAAGGCAAATTTGGTGCCAGAGAGAGAGAGAGAGAGAGAGAGAGAGAGAGAGAGAGAGAGGAGAGAGAGAGAGAGAGAGAGAGAGAAAGAGAGAGAGAGGAGAGAGAGGAGAGAGAGAGAGAGAGAGAGAGAGGAGAGAGAGAGAGAGAGGAGAGAGAGAGAGAGAGGAGAGAAAGAGAGAAGAGAGAGACAGAGAGACAGAGAGAGAAGAGAGAAGAGAGAGAGAGAGAGAGAGAGAGAGAGAGAGAGAGAGAGAGAGACATGTGGTTGTAGAGATTCTTTGGGAGAGACACATAGAAAGAATGACTTTTAAAGCTATAGACATGTAGAGGAAACGGGCTGTGCAGTATGTCCCTATTTCTAGCTTACCTTCCTAGAGACTTTGGAAAGAAAATTGCCACTTGGGGGAGCTCAGGGCCTCTTTCTTGTTTGAGTTGAGAGACTATACTTCCATCTCATTTACTTTTGTATTTTCTGGTAATATTTGATACATAACTGCTTTGATTTCTGTTTGTTTGGGTAAATGTATATACTGCTGTTGACCATTTGTAACCACGAAAGGCAAAAAGGAAATAACCAGTGAGGATAAGCTAAAGGGATGGAGGAAGAAGCTTTTGTTGTTAATTCCTCTAAAACAGTACCCTAAAAAAAAGAAAGAAAGAAAAAGAAAAAGAAAAAAAATAAAAGAAGAAAAAAAATAATAAATAAAACAGTACCCTAGACCAGAGACATCTGATGGGGGCAGATAGGTACAATTTTAGTCCAATACTCATCTTGGAAATACGTGCGAGAAGGAGCAAGCACCCAACCATAGCCCTTCTCCTGCTTCTCTCAAGACAGAAATTACAATCTCTCTTGGAAAGGGGTAGGCCAGATTCCAGAGATATCTGGACTAAATATCCTGTCCATGAGTTAAAATGAAAACATCTAGATAACCGAAGTGGATATATAAACACACAGTAGGCACTTAATAAATATTGATTGATTGATTGATTGATAAAGACAAATCAGGAAAGAGTGGCCTGTAAATGTTATCATGCTCACCCAGGAGGTTGATGAGACTGATGGACAGCAATTTGGCCTTCATTTTGATTTTTCACTGCTTGAACAAGTCCCTCAACGTTAGTAACTTTTGATAAGATAGTGCATGGTTTGGTCTCATCCTCCTGGTACAGGCCACGTCCTCCCAAAAGAACTATAGGAATTAACTCCCAGTGCAATGGGCGCTGATTGAGAGATTATAGTGCTCACCACTACTCAAACTCATGAAGTTGTCTGCAGGACTGGGAATGTACATCTCATGTTCACTGTTTGGTCATCTATGCATTTGAGATTATGTATGTCCTTCAGCAAGGGGCCAGAATCCTTGTCGCATACTCACAGGGTCAAAGCTTGTAGGGCAAGGTTGCTGCTCCTAGTATACAGATGTACATGTGTATCTATACACACATATGTATGTGTACACTCGTGTATATGCAGGTTTACATAAAAATATATATGTGTCTGCATGATTATAATATATTGTGCACATAGATATCCACATATATCTACATATGCATGTATAGTGTGCTTCCATACAACTAGGTGTCAGGTCTGAGAGAGATATGCAAATTAGAATCTGACATAAAGACGTGTTCCATGAAAGAGGCAGAAACAAAGTTCTGGTCTATCTTGTTCCTTCCCTGCCTTCTGCATCACTGTGGTAGATCCATCCAAGCTGCCGTGAGTATCTTGAGACTAGAAAGCTCAGTAAGTGAATGCAGGGTAGACTAAGGCCAAGTCTGCCCCCTGTTTTCATAGCACCCATCATTTGGGGGATCGTCCTCAAATGACAAGTTGTATATTAAGTTCCCTCTGTGTGTGGCTCTGTTGCAGCCTACAGGCTGCAGGCTTCAGGAACAGACGTTTCTTTGTGCCTAGCCACGTGCACACACATACTCCTGTATACACACCCTTAGAGACACACACCCAAACATCTGCAGGCTCAGACACTCTCCCCCTCCCTGCAAAGTTCCCAATACACAGGCAGAAGCTATCTTAGTTAAACTTTGAACCTCCCCCTGTGCCTAGCACAGAGCTCTGTCTATGCTAAATACTCGCTCAATATTTGTTGTACTGTGCTGCGTTGCAGGGACTAACACATTGTTGAATCAACCAGTGTACAGTAAAAGGGTTGGATTATTTGACCTCTGAATCTCCTTCCTGCTTAAAAGTCCCCAAGCCTATGACTTTTGGGGGACAGGGGCAGGAGTCACAGAGAATTAATGCTTAGATCATCAGGAGAGTATACATGAGTGTATTAGTGCAAAATTTGGTCAGGATCCATGAGAAAGAAAAAGCCTCAGAATGCTCAAGAGGAGGCAGGGCCCTAAGTTTACAGGCAAATCAGAATCATCCCAGACCTACACAGATCAAATACCAAATTAGAGGGAGCTATCTATCTCTCAATGGAGACCCATCGCCAAGAAGTTTCAACACTCCCCATTTCCAAACTGACAAAGCAGAGACTTAGTCCAAGCTAGCTCCTCCCTCTCTCTCCACCAGGGCTCAGAGTCCCACTGCAGGCCCACCCCACTGGGAAGAGGCAGCTTTGCAAATGGGATGGCAGGGTTCTGGTCAGAGACATTCTTAGAGCCCCAGTGACAGAGGAAACAAGACCAGGCTATATTTCATGCTAAAAAGTGAAAACCAAATAAACACAACCCCCCTTTCATGGCAACAGTCCAGGTCAGCTGTGTAAGTGAACAGCAAAAACATTCCTCTGTTCTTTGGAAACCTTTGGAGGAAATCCAGAACTGCATGGACTCGGCCCAGCTGTTTTTCTCTTATTGCTTAAAAAATGCCTCTACTTTTTAATTTGTCATATCTTTCGGTTTCTGTCACTTGCTTGTCATTTGGGCTGCTGGAGCAAGGGCGGGAATAAGGACTGGACAATACTGTAAAATAATGCTTCAGTCAGACTTGAAATGGCAGTGCTTATGACAGCCATATTAATACCAGATGGGTTCGCCCTGATTGTTGTACTGCGTCTTTCAAAAACACACCAGACTGAAAGCAATCCATCCAAGCATTTTTTAACGATCCAATGACCTAAAAGGCCGTCCCTCAGAAATGCCCTTCTCATCCCTCACACGGGGCCACGCCTGAACAAGTAAACAGATGGAACATTCGCGTTTTGGGTGGTGAAGATACTTTGATGGAAGATCTGGTAAGTCTGACCATTGCTTTTCCCCAAACTAGATCTCTTGTTATTTCACTTTCAGACAAGTAACTTGTCAGGAATCATGTCAAACATCAGGCCCCATCCAGGAATAGAAGGCAAGGATTCCCCCTCATCTGCTGCTTAACTTCATCAATCAGCATTTGATCTGTTTTCTCTGGATGGCTGTGCTCCGTAGTGACTCTACAGGACCCCTGGTTATTAAAAACTTAGAGCTCAGGGCCCTTTCTCTTCAGGAGATTTGCCCTTTCTCTCATCATCCATGTCTCACCCCATCATAGTAACATATTCTTGCAGATTCCAAAAACTGTTATATTTGAATGGGCAATTTGGATCATGGGATTTTACTCCTGAAGGGAGATTATAGGTCACCCAGTCTCTCGTTTGTAGATAAGAAAATTAAAATCAAGAGAGGTGGGAGGACTTACTCAAGGGGACACAGGTAATAAGTAGAAGAGCCAAGATTCAAAACCAGTCTTCTGACTCCAAATTCAGTGCCTTATCCACTATACCACACAGGAAAGACATAGGAAGTTCCCCTACATGCAGCTCAAGAGACAGATCTTACTAGAAACTTATGTTCAGGGTCATTCTTTCTAGCCAGTTCCTAACTGCTTCAAAGAAATCTGTATTCTCTTATATCAGTATATTACGAAAGAACACTGTAATGAGTTCGAAGACCTGAATTCAAATCTCATCTTTACTATGTACTGCCTTGGGCAAACCGCTTTCTGGCCCTGAGTTTCCTCATTTGTAAAATAAGTGGGTTGGATTAGATGACCTATCAATCCTCTTCCAGTTCTACATCTGTGAACAGACTGGTATCTCTCCCTTGGCTTCTTGAGTTCTACAAGCAAGTGCTTGTAGATGCCTCTGGTTACCAGAGAAATCGATTCCTTCTAATCCCTGTTTGCGCTGAACTAAAACCTTTCCTCTTTTTCTCACCACCTTCCTAGCTGCCCAGATTCCTCTCTGATCTTTTGTTTTTCTGATTTGGAACTGTCCTCTCCTCTGGGAGCCAGACAGGCATCATATTTATCTAATAATAAAAATTAACCATTTACATATACATACAGAGAAGACATCACACACTCATACAAAATATGCCATCATTTCAGGCCATCATCATTTAGGAAAAGGGGACAATTTATCATCTTGATGATTTAGGTTCAAGAGTTTTTGCAGACTCCAGGCCAACCCACCTCACTGTACAGGGTAGAGGAGATGATAGTAATAGGAATGAGAGGTGCTATCATTCTCAACTCTTATATTGCTTCTATTTTCCCTTCCAAAGAAGATGGTTTTTAGAATAAGAAGGGTAAAATAAAATTGGTTAACAGGGAGTTGAAACTCAAGGTCAGTGAGGATGTGGTAAGAGAACATCAGGGGAAGCTAGGTGACATAGTGGATAGGGTACAGGGCCTGGAATCAGGAAGACTCATCTTCCTGAGTTCAAATCTGGCCTCACACACTTATTAGCTGTGTAACCCTGGGCAAGTCACTTAGCCCTGTTTGCCTCATGAGGCTCCTCATCCCTAAAATGAGCTGGAGAAGGAAATGGCAAAACATTCCAGTATCTTTGCCAAGAAAATCCCAAATGGGGTCAATAAAGAGTCAGACACAACCAAAAGGATGGAACAACAAGAAAAAAGAGAATATCTGGCTGCTTTGCACAAATAAAATCAATGCAGCTAAAAATAAGAAGGGAAGTTGTCAATTGGAAAAAAGTTTCACCTCAAATATCTCTGATAAAGGTTTAATATTCAGGATATATAGGGAATATAAGCAATATATTAAGAAAAAGACATTTCTCCACAGATAAGTAATCAAATGATATGAAGGAGTTTAAAAAAAAATGCAAACCACTGACAACCATACAAAAGAATGTTCAAAATCACTAAAATTTAAAAAATTAAAATTAAAGAACTAAGAGATTTCACTTCACCCTATTCACCCTATTGGATTGGCAAAAATGGCAAAAGATTAAAAATGGTCAATGTTATAAGGGCAATGGGAAAAGAGGCACATTAGTACTCTATTGTTAAATCTCAATAGGTCCAACATTTTCTAAAAAAAAAATTTGGAATCATTCAAGAAAAGTGACAAAATAGTTGACCTGGCCATCCCAATGATAGACATATGCCCCAAGGAAATCAAAGACAAAAAAAAAGTAAGATCCAGAGATACAGAAATGCTACTAGCAATAATCAGGATAGCAGACACCCATTAATTGGGGATTAGCTGGACAAACTGTGATATTTGGATGTAATAGAACGTTATTGAACTATATGAAATGACAAATATGATAAATTCAGAGAAACTTAGGAAGATGGATGAATTGATGCAGAATGAAATAAGTACGACCAGGAGAACAATTCACACAATGACCACAATACTCACAGGAGAGAATAATTCAAGAGATTTGGGAGAAGGCACTAAATGGTACTGTCAGAATAAGCCTTCCATGATGCCCAAAACTGCCTCACCCACCTTTTTGAAGAGGGGAAGGATTTGTGGGTAGAAGATAGGAGGGGCCAAATCATACGAGCAGAGCAAGTCAGAAAAGAGAACAAAAGAGTAAAATATGGAAATGGGAAGCTACTAAGAGCTCTGCTACAGAGGCCTCTCAGAAGGATTGGACTGAGTCAGAGCTGTGACAGCAGCCTGAGAGTGACAGCAGCATGGATCTGCAGCTCTGGGGGTGATAAGAGCCAGCCAAAGGGCACAATTAATCCAGTGACCCCTTTTACCTCTTAGTAAAACTGCTTGTCCCCTTTCTAATTACCTGGGTGTCCCAACTTGTTTATTTCTTCTTTATTTACTCTTAACTGAGGTTTCATTTACCTGCTATAAAATTCTGCTTACCATTAGAAATGCTAGGTTGGATTGTTTGTGTTTTATTTAAAGCTTATAAATTGAAAAGGGATAAGAAAGGGTGTGTGCTCCTTATTTTAGGGAGACGGGAAGTCTGGTTTGAACTGACCTTGGGGATTTGGAGCTATTTAGGACAGAGCAATATTAAACAGTTTGAAGCCTGGGAAGTAAATTTGGGATTCATCTGCCAGATTGCAAGCTTGCAAAGGACAAGAGGCAGCAAAGAGAATAAAGCACGGACGTTTTAACTATCATTTTCTGCAACATTGGCTGTAGGCATTTTGCTGTGCTAGGTTTTCAAAAGCAAGCCATGCCCTTGAAGCAAAGTGAGTTGTCTGGAAAGGGAAGAACATGTCCCTGAAAGGGAGGGAGCTGCCAAGGGAGTTCCATCCACAAGAAAAGAACAGGAGTAACTTGTACAAAGCAAATAGGTGGCATAGTGGATAGAACACTGGACCTGGAGTCAGGGAGCCCTGAGTTCAAATCCACCTTAGACATAGATTAGCTGCCTAGGCAAGTCACTCAACTCCATTTGCCTCAGTTTTCTCATCTTTAAAATGGAGATAACAATAGCACCTACCTTCCAGGGATGTTATGAGGATCAAATGAGATATTTGTAAATTGCTTTACAAACCTTAGGGCACTATAACAGTGCTAACTACAGTGGTTATTAGAAACATGTTCAGGAGGTCTGCTGGCTCAGTGGGCAACTGACTGTTCAACCTGCCTAATTTCTTAGGGCCACTAGCTGCCTATAAAAAAAAAAAGGTCAAGGGGAGAAGCACATTGAAGGATATCAGAATTCTGATCAATGCAGTGACCAATATATTTTCAGAGAGTTGATGGTGAAACACATCTCTCTCCTCTTAACAAAGAGGCGGTACAAGATAGGAGTAGTATAAGATATACATTGTCAAACAATGGCCCTATTCTATTTAACATTATTAGTAATGATTTGGATGAAGACTACCTTATGACCCTCAGGAAGTGAGCACTGAATGCCATTATCATGAGACTAGGATGTGTCCTTCTTACATCTGCAGATGACAGGGAGCTGAGAGGCATAATAGATCATATGATAGTCACCAAACTAAAATGCTGACTTAGCCTCAGAAGATGAAACTTAATGGTGAAAATCGTAAACTACACTTTCAAAAATTAACTTCTAAAATGCAAGATAGGGGAAGCATGATTAGAGAGATGTTTTTTACTAGATTAGTTAAAGCTCAGTATGATTCAAGATGGCAGCCAAAAAAAAAGGTACGGTCACTCTAGACTGAATTAATAGAGGCATAGTTGACCAGAACTAAGAAGGTAATTCATTCAGCAAACGTATGTTTGTATCTACTAAGTGCAAGCTAATGTGTTAGACAGTGGGAACTTTATTGTTCAGTTGTGTCTGACTCTCCTTGACCTTATTTGGAGTTTTCTTGGCAAAAATACTGGCATGGTTTGCCATTTCCTTCTCCAGTTTATTTTACAAATGAGGAAACTGAGGCAAACAGGGTTAAGAGACTTGGCCAAGGTCATACAGCTAGTTAGGCTGGATTTGAATTCAGGAAGATGAAGCTTCCTGACTTCAGGTCCAGCACTCTATCCACTGTGTCACCAAATGAAACAGCCCTTGTCCCCAAGGAACTTACATTCTACACAGGGGGATACAATATGTACTGGGGCAGCTAGGTGGCTCAGTGGATAGAACACTGGACCTGGGGTCAGGAAAACCTGGGTTCAAATTCAGCTTCAGACACTTAATAGCTGTGTAACCCTGGACAAATCACTTAATCTCTGCCTCAGTTTCCTCATCTGTAAAATGGGGATGATAATAATAGCCCCTACTCTTATGGTTGTTGTGAGGCTCAAATGAGATAATAATCATAAAATGGTTAGCACAATGTCTGGCACTCAGTAAATACTATATAAATGTTAGCTATTTTTGTTGTTATAGTTCACTCATCTATTGAGGGTTTTGGTGTCTTAATCTGCAATCTGAGTCCATCATCTCTGTATCACAAGGTGGGTAGTAGCATGTTCCATCATTAGTACTCTTGAATCATCATTGGTCATTATGCTGATCAGAATTCCTAAATCTTTCAGAGCTGTCTTTTTAGTAT